CGCACTGTCTTTGATAGGAAGTTTACAGGAACAGCCTCGACCGCGTCTTCTTGGTGGGTTGCACTGTTTTCTTCGTTGCTGGAGTCAGAATCATACTCTGATAGCTGGTCACCAATATCATCAGCTGAACTGGGTTCTTCGGTGACTCGGTCGCCAACAGGTAGCTCTTTCCTATACATGTTTAGAGGAAGAGTCCCTGCTGGATGTTTGGTGTTGTTCTGACGAACCGAGAGCTGTCTGACGGCTTTTCCATGCTCGCTGGCCCACTGGCGCATGTAATCCTGGTCCTGCTTAGACATATCACGTACAGGAAGAGGCTTTATCTTTGGGATATCTCTTAGGGCTACCTTTGTCTCGGGAACCGGATAGTACGAGTGAGCACGAGTGAAGTAGTAGGCCGACCACTTTGTTGCTCGTTTCAGAGACTCTTTCAGGTTGTTGCCAAAGTCCCTGGCGTATTGCAGCAGAGTACAAGTCGGGTGCTTGAAGTGGCTGACAGCGTGCACATTTTCAACCTGAATTGTCAGGCAAACCTCTGGCTTAATGGAGAATGTTGGACTCAATACGTCAATGTTTTTATCTAGCCTCTCGAGACCATTCTCCAACAGACTGAGAGATACAACTGTTTTCGCAGCAATAGTTCCCTGTGGACCATTGGTTGTGCTCGTTATACCGTTTCTTGATTTCACGTTTTCAACGGTTCCATTGCAGTAAGAAGAAACTGCCTTGACCATCTGGTGTGCCTCTTTGACTGTACAATTCTCGTGTTGTTGGTGCTTGTGATGCACCGAGAATGCACGGTACAGCTTTCCGAGGTTCTCCAAAAACTCAATAGTTCCTTCGAGATTTGTTACTAGCTTTATCGTACCGATTTGGCAACAAACAACAGATGATATGAAAGATCTGAATGATTTGAAAATTAACTGCACTGCACTGCACTGCACTGCACTGAGAAATTGCACTGCACTGAGACTGCCAACTGCACTGAGAAATTATTAACGCCTGTATTAACTAAGTTTGCTCTGAAATATGAAACCATGGCGCTTTCGTGCAACAGAGATTTTCTCAAAAGATCGTGGAGCACGCGAACGAAAATACACTGAAAATAGATAACGTTCGCTAGGTCTGTGGACAGACCCCGGGAGGGGGGGGGGGCACTTGGGTATTTTTTGGGTGGGTATGTGTCGCCCGGGACTCCAAATTGGCACCCCGTTCTCGAAAAAATTTCCCCTAAAATTGATACCCCGTTCTAGAAATAGGCCAATTTTTTATACCCCCTTCTAGAATTCGCCCTAAAACTAACACCCCGTTCTAGAAATGGGCCAATTTTTTATACTCCGTTCTAGGGTGCAACAAGAGTACAACGGTTTGCTTGTTAACGCACTGAACCGTATTTTTAGAAGCAATCTGTCCTTGAATGCTTTCAAATGGCTTCTTACAAAAGTGGAGAGCTTTCGGGCGTTCGAAATATTATACCCCGTTGTAGAAACCGCGTCTGAAATGGATACCCCGTTCTAAACCAGGAGCTTCAAAATGACGACCCCTTTGGGCGGCACATACCCGTATAGGTA